CTAACGCTGCTGCTGCTGGTGGTGCTGCTGCTAGCGCTGCTGCTGCTGGTGCTGGTGGTGGTGCTGGTGGTAACGCTGCTGCTGCTGCTGCTGCTGCTGCAGTAGGACGAGTAGTAGCACCAGACGCAGCAGCAGTTGTAGTAGTAGAAGCAGCAGCAGATGCAGCAGCAGCAGCAGCAGCAGTAGTAGCAACAGCAGCTGCAGCTGTTGCTGCAGCAGCAACAGTAGCAGTAAACGTAGCAGCAGCTGCTGCTGCAGCTGCTGCTTCTGCTACTGTTGGTTGCTGCTCTTGCTGCAGCAACTGATAGGGCTGCTGCTGCAGCTCCTGCTGCAGCTGTGGTAGCAGCAACAGCAGCAGCAGCTGCTGTTGCCTTGGCTGCAGCACACCTGTACTCTTCTTGCTGCGGTTATTGCTGCTGCTGCTGCTGCTGCGGCTGCAGCAGCTGCTGCTGCTGCAGCAACAGCTGCTGCCTTCCCTCGCTGTTGCAACAGCTTCTCTTGCTGCTGCCGCTGCAGAAGCAGCAGCAGCAGCAGCAGCAGCAGCAGCAGCAGCAACAGCAGCTGAGACACCGCAGGGACTCTTTTTTCCTTTGTAAGGGTTTAGTGTTTGTTTAATATAAGAAAAGAAGACGAGGGGTTAGGGTTTGCTTTAGGGTTTAGGGTTTGCTTACGACAAGAAGGCTAGGGTTTAGGGTTTGTTAGGGTTTAGGGTTTGCTCTAGGGTTTAGGGTTTAGGGTTTAGGGTTTAAAGCATGGTTTAGGGTTTAGCGTTTAGGGTTTTTGTTAGGGTTTAGCGTTTAGGGTTTGCCTTAGGGTTTAGGGTTTGTTACAACAAGCAGAGAAGGCTAGGGTTTGGGGTTTAGGGCTTGGGGTTTAGGGTTTAGGGTTTAGGGTGTGCGTGCTTAGGGAGCAGCACAGTGGCGCTAGCGGCTGCTGTTGCTGTTGCTGCTGTTGCTGCTGTTGCTGCNCGTGCTTAGGGAGCAGCACAGTGGCGCTAGCGGCTGCTGTTGCTGTTGCTGCTGTTGCTGCTGTTGCTGCTGCTGCTGCTGCTGTTGCCTGTGCTGGCGTTGTTGCTGCTGTTTCTGTTGCTGCTGTTGCTGGTGTTTCTGGTGCTTCCGTTGCTGCTGTTGCTGCTGTTGCTGCTGTTGCTGCTGCTGCTGCTGCTGCTGCTGTTGCTGCTGCTGCTGCTTACACAGCCCAATTGCGGTCTTCATGAGAAAGGAGACATTTCTATCTGTCTCCAACCAGCAGCAGCAGCAGCAGCAGCAACAGCAGCAGCAGCAACAGCACCAGCAGCAACAGCAGCAGCAGCAAAACGACGCAACCGCTACAGCAGCGATAGCAACAGCGTCACAGCCAGCAGCAGCAGCAGCTTGAATAGCAGCAGCAGCAGCAGCAGCAGCAGCAGCAGCAGCTCTGTTGCTGCAGAGTTATGTTGTAGAACCCAGCAGCAGCTACTGGGGGTTGTGAGGTCCCTGTACAGCAGAAACCCCCAGCTAGCTACAGCTAGCTACAGCTAGCTACAGCTAGCTACAGCTAGCTACAGCTAGCTACAGCTAGCTACAGCTAGCTACAGCTAGCTGCAGCTAGCTACAGCTAGCTACAGCTAGCTGGGTTTGCTTTCACTACTCTTCTTGCTGCTGCTGCTGCTGCTGCTGCTACTGCTGCTGCTGCTGCTACTGCTGCTGCTGCTGCTACTGCTGCTGATGCTTTTGCTTGTGCTTGTCTTGCTGCTACGATTGCTGCAGCAACCCGTCGATCAGCAGCAGCAGCAGCAGCTGCTGCTGCAGCAGCTGCAGCTGATATCTACATACATACATTATACACGCGCTCGTATACACATATATATATATATATATATACATATATATATATATATATATATATATATATATAT